CACACACACACACACACACACACCTTCGCTCCCGTTTCCCCCTTGGTCTTGCTTGCCCCTTTATGTTGTGTTGCTCTCCAATTGAAAGCACGCTCGTTATAACTCCTTTTCACAAAGAAAAAAGAGTGAACTTTTACTATTTCGCATTTTCCGTCATTTGCTTTGATCATTTTTTGTTTTTCTTCTTGTCTTCTTTTGCAGTCTCGTTTTGCAGCGTTCAATGTCTCGCCTCTTCTTTTCACCGCCACTTAACGGTTCAGCCACTCCCTCATCCAGCAGCAGCAGCAACCAACGGAAGAGGGATCGCGTCACCCACCAGAAGGGAATACGGATGAAACAACAACATAACACCGCTATTCGTCCCTCACGCTTGCTGCTGCTGCTTCTGCTTCTGCTTCGGTGCTTTGCCGCGTCATGACTTGCGAGGAGAGGGGAAAGAGGAGGTGATGCGGAGAGCCGCAGCCTCAATGGCGACTGCAGCTGGGCTTAGTCCTCGCATATCCCTTTCAGAACCTGTTGGTCGGAAGGCAGCACGTCGATGCCGCCGAAGATGCTATATCCAGGGGTGGGCGATGCCAAGAAGCGGAACATCTTGTCGTCCGCCTCCCCTGCTAAATCTACCGGCAGTCCACCAGGAGGAGGGGGAGGAGAAGCAGCAGCAGAAGCAGCAGTGGAAGAAACAGCAGCTGCAACTGCAGCAGCAGTAGCCACTGGCGTGTTGGACGCGGACGGGGTAGGCTTCTGGCAGGTGGCACGCCCCAACAGCGCCCACGAGGCGGCCTGTGGTGTGAGCCCGAAGAGACCACCGAAGAGGGCGATGTTCGGCAACGGCAAATCCGTGCGGATAGGGTCATAATGACGTGCTGGTGCCTTCTTCGCCTGAAGTGCTAGACGACTGATACCAATGACCGGTTGTTGCTGCTGCTGCTGCTGCTGTTGTTGTTGTTTTGCTGACGACCCTCCAGTGGAGTCTTTGTTGCGTGTGTTTGTCGCCAACGGTGTTGCGGCGCCCCCAAGGGCCTGTGGGCGACGTGTAGAAACGGTGCTGGTATTGCTATTGGTGTTATTATTGTGGTAATTATTCGTGTGGTTGTGAGAGGTGCCCTCCTCCTCTGTTGATGCCTCTATTGGCCTCGGCGGTTGCCCCCCGACAACTACAACGTTCCCACCAGACGTAGCAGCAGCAACCACAGTTTTCCCAGGCGTTGTAGCTGTAGCCGTCGCGACGGCGGCTGTGCTACCGTGCCTAGGTGTGTTGCCATTGTTGTTACTGATATTATTATTGTTGCTGTTGTTGTTATTCGCAGCCGCCTGCCCTGCGGCTGCAGCAGCAGTAGCAGCAGCCACAGCTGTGACATTCTTTGGTACGGGCCGGCTGCCGAATTTGGCGATGGCCAACTCTAGCATCTCCTGTCGCTTCTTGTTGCTTTTCGGGTAACTGCGGAGGGCCTGAATGAACACCGCCTGAAGCGTATGCTGGTCCTCGCGGTTGACGAGCTGACCGCCAGAGCTGAGTGCGGCATTCATGAGGTCTACCATGTCGTTCTTCAGCTCCTCCGAGGCATCCTCTTTCTTCTCACTATTGTTCCTCTTCCCGAAGGACTTCCCCTGCGCCGGGGCGGTGTTGGTGTTGCTGGTGGTGGTAATGGCGACGGGCAAGTTGCCATTTGTCAGGTAGTCGTAGGCACCAAGCAGGTAACCGTCAACCGGTTTCTTCATTGTCTTAAGCAGCTGCATGAAGACCTTTGCGTCCCCCGCCCTCAGCGCGGCGTAGGCCAGGAGCTGTCCCACCCGTGTTGTGCAGCTGCTGGGCGGGTGCCGCATCATGTGCAGAGCGCACTGCACGGTGTCTACAATGTGGGAGTTCTCTATGTTGAAGGCGAGGAGTTCCTTGTCGTCCGCATCGTCAATCCTCGCCGCGATGGGGCGGCTCTCGTTGAGAACATGCGTAACTGCATCGAACTGCGACTGCGACGGATGTGTGAAGCCCCAACGACAGCGCGGCCCCTCACAAGGTTTGTCCCGCTTGAAGTTGATCTTTCCCTTAATGAAGCTGCAGCACCAGTTGTCTGGGTAGCCGTTGAGGGGGCAGCTGGTGCCACCAATGCACGTCCGCCGCAGCTGGTGCTCACACGGGTGGCCAAAACTAAACAACTGCATCGTCATGATGGGCAGCTGCTCCTTCGTTCTCGCTTGTTGTGTGTATGAATGTGCGCGAGGGAGCTAGCGTATGCGTGTGTGTGTGTGTGTGTGTGGGTGTGGGTGTGCTTGATAGCGGGAATATGCGTTTGGCTCCGTCAATAACTCTTTCGTTTCACTCTCACTTTCTCTATTCAATGTCGATCACACCAGCGAGTGGATTGGTGTGACTTCCTATGTGGATATTACTCTTCCTTCAGCCGTAGTTGTGCGGGTGCGGTAAACTAACTATATGGATGCCGGTAAGGAGAGAAGGGTGCTGTTATCGCTTCACACGTTTCACCACCGCGCGAAAACTACAACAACAGAGCAGAGAGAATGAAAGAAACCAAAAAAGGTGTCAGACATCATACGTGTATGTGTGTGTGTGTGTGTGTGNTATATATATATATATATATACACGACCATGTGTGGTATGCAGGATGAATCATGGCACGCCTCCGTGGCCCGAGCGCTTGTCCCCGCATTCCTTGCGGCACATCCCTATCGAAGACGTTCTCCTTCGTTGTATTCCATGCACGTGTCTGTGCGGATGTGCATGTACGTGGGCCTGTGTGTGTTCAGAAGTCATGGCAACGGCCGTTGCTCTCCCAGTCGCCGTAGCGCGTCGGGTTGAGCTGCGTGCTGCCAATCGGCACACCTGTTGCCTCGTTGACGATGTTCGACGGCTGCGCGCCGGCAGCCTTGTTGAAGAGCGACTCCGCGCTGCTGACGGAGGAGGTGAAGCGCTGCACCGCCTCGTCGCTTAGCGGCTTTGGCTGCATCGTCGGGTCCGCTTTACCCAGGAGTGCGAGGCGGTGCTCTAGGTACTTCTTGTCCTTCACGACGGAGATGAATATGCCGCCCTCCGCGCCGATCCGCAGCGCCAGACTGCGTCGAAGCATCCCTCTTCCGGTGCGCTGTTCTTCTTGTTGCTTGCTTGGGTGTGGAAGCAGATCTAATGCAGGGAATATTAGAAGCAGCAAGAAAAAAAAAGCACATACAACAGTTATATATATATATATATAACTGCACAACCACCAGGCGCGCATGCACACACGGGGCTAGCAAGTGGTGAGGAAACAAACCTCTACACGCAACCACAACGACGATGGAGTTTGAAACAACAACAAGAGCCCCGCACAGACACAGACCTAAGCGTACTCCCTCCCTCAGAGCAGTGCTACTGTTTACCACGACCACAGGTACTATAGCACCATATTGCCTTGGCGAAGGGCATTCGACACAAGTGTAGCCGCGACGAGCTTCCCATCTGCGAGGCCAGCGAGCAGCACAGACGGCGTGAACACCATGCAGCGCACACCACAGCGCGATGTGAGCACCGGTGCGAGCTGCATGCGCGACGACTTGTGGAGAACGCTCTCCTCTGACACGCTCGTTTCTGTGGCGTGGACGTCCATATCCTCCACACACGCATGCGCCACCTCGAGAATTGTGCTAAACTGCAGCAGCAACGCATGTCCGTCTTCTGTGCCTAGCGCCACAAGGTCGTCGTAGTGGCTTACCGCCAGACATGACACCGTGGCCGGTGGGTGCATGACGGGGGTGGGCGCGATGATGTAGAGGTGCGACTTCCGCATGTCATATAGTGCCGCCCGCCCGTCTGCGGCGACACACAGCACGCTGTCGGGGTTTCTGATGTACGCCGCGTACTCCGGCACAAAGGGCAAATCCCGGCGCACCACCACACCGCCATGGACGACAACGTCGAGAATAAGAAGAACGCCAACAGTTGGCCGCTGGTGTGGATTCGCCCGTTTTGACTGTGGCGCACCGCTTCCTCCTGCTGCCGCTCCATTGGCCTTCCCCGCAAAGTCGAAGCCAACGACGACGAGCAACGAGGGCTGGTTGCCGCAGAACATTGTCACCTTGACGCCGCCCGGCGGGAGGATTCGGTGGACGAAGAGCGCGTCGCTCGTGGCAGCGCCGAGGCCGAAGCACCAGCCCCGCACACTGCCGTCCGCTAGACCCGCAGCAAAGGTGTAGCCGTTGGGCGAGTATGCGATGTCGGTTACGACGTAGCTTCCCTGGCAACTGAAGGTCGCCACGCACTCGGTGCAGGTGAAAGCGTACAGATCCACACACCCGTCACTGTGGCGAGCAAGGAAGAATGGGAGGTGCGGGTGTGACGCAACGCGTGCGTTGGCGGCGAGCGAAAAGCGTGGCCGCCGCGACAACGTGCTACGGTACATCGCGTCCACCCCTCCCACTGTTGCTGCTGCTGTGGCTGTTGTTGTCGTTGCTGTCGCTTCCTCTGCGCCATCCTCGCCATCAGCGGTGCTGAGGCTCATGGAGAAGGCCGCGGTCGCGACGTTGCGATCAGGCTGCTCGCGCAGCATCGCGGCCTCGTTATCGCCAGCCAGGATCTCGCGGTAACCGTGCCCCACCTCCACTCCAGCAGAAGTGCCCCACACGAGGCTGTCACAGCTGGAGCGGTCGTAGTCCACCGCTCCCACTGCGTGGCAAGCCTGTTGCAGCACAAGCCTGTCCGTCGTGATGAGCGTCGTCAAACTGCCACGCAGGCTGGTCTCCAGCAGCCACTTGCGGTAGCTGCTGTGTGTATGGTGGCGCCGCAGCCACGCAGCCTCCACGCGACGAAGCGTCACCGCCGCGCCGTCGCTCAGCTGGCCATAGAGAAGGTGTGCAGCAGCGTGTGGCTGCGTGGCGTCTCGCAACAACACCACCACCGCGTCGGTGTCTGTGGATATTTTCGCAATCGTTTGCGGCAGCTGCCAGAAGAACTCCGCACGACCCACACAGAGATCCAATGAGACCATCTGCAGTAGCGGCCACACCGGCTCAGTCTCGCTGGAGCTGACGACGAGGTTGGACTCGAGCAACTCTGCAACCCGCTGCAGCTCCTGTTCCTCTTCAACGAAGATGCCGTTGGGGTTAGTGGCGAGGCTGTCGTCGAGCTGCCGCACCGTCATCACATAACCCACGAGTTGCGCCGCTGCCGCGTTGAAGGCAAGTGTGGTGCGGCACAACATGCAGCCGAGCAGCAACATCAGCAGCCGTGAGTACGAAGTCGGTGGTTGTTGTTCCTGCTGCGAGAGAACCGCCCGCAAGCGCTGCACTTCTTCCCGCAACTCGCTGAGGGCACAAAGCTGCAGAAAGGCAGCGCACCACGCCAGCAAAAACCCGCGAAGCTCCTCCTCATTTGCCGTCGACGGGTGGCCGTCGTCAGGTTCACCCTGCCGAGCACCCGTAAGGGTAGAAAAATATGCAGATCCCAACGTATGATACATCTCCTGCTTCTGCTCCTGATCCTGCTCCTCCGCCAGATTGTGCTGCACCCTCTCCGCCGTCATCGCCCGCACGCGGCCGTGGACGTTGCGTACAGCACGCACGTATGAGGCTACAGTGTGCAACGTCACCGCCTCCGACTTCTGCTCATGGAGGACATCAACAAGGGATGGGTACCCCAGAAGTGCGTTCGCCAGCGCGTAGTCGGCGTTCTGCAGCATCACCGATAACAGCGCCAGCCTCACGGCGATAATCACGAGGCGTGAACCCACGCCAAGGAGCTCCCCCGCCCCTGTCACATCGGCGTGGTCGTCCTCTAGCAGCAACACCCTCTCAAAGAGACGTGTCAAGTGCTTCTCGACGACAGTGATTGGTGCCTGTCTACCAACAGCTACCACTAAGTGTGCACAGCATACGAGAACAGTGTGCATGTCCCTATCACCTCGTCGATGTGATGTCATGGTGTTGGTGGACTGCGCCTTCTGTAGCTTTCGCCTTGTGTATTGCAGTTCCCGCTCCAGTGCCATTGATGTGGCAGCGTCCAGCAGGCCATTTGTTGCTGTTGAACCTGCAGCAAATGCAGATGCTGTCTCCACAGCCGCTGGCCCGGTACTCCTCATATTATTGTTGCTGTCTCCAACATCACGGTTCTCATCATTGTCGTCGCTATCATCATAATCATCGATATCAAAGCCATGGAATGCCAGGGTGCCCGTGTTGAAGTCTGCTTCCATGCGTGGAGGAGGAAGAGCAGCAGCAGCAACGGCGGCGGCGGCGGCGGCAGTGACATCTCCAGTCGCGCCTTCGTCTCCTCCTCCTACCTGAGTACCACACATCTGCACAAGTAGCGCCTCTGCCTCACGACAGCACATAAGCGTCGGCAGCCGCATTCCTGCAGTGTCTGAGAGGCGAGTGATGCGCAGCAGCAGCAGCAGCTCTTGAAGGAGAGGTAGATGTCCTCCCGCCCCAAGTTTGCGTCGTCCCTCGTACCGTAAAAGGCTCAGTCTGTCGGCGGCGTCGGCGGCGCCGAGTGGTGTACGCCGTGCCAGAAGAAGCAGAGCCTCCTGTGTGTGGCCGCAGCGCCATTGCAGGCATGCCTCCTCCCAAGCGTCCATCGGGCCGTACTGCACCTCTTCGCGTCGCCGCTGCTCCATGAACCACATCAAATCCTCCTCCGTGTCATTTCCAGCCAGTCGCAGAACAAACAGAGCGAGGGCAACGCTGTTGTGGCGCTGCAGCAGAACCTGTGCAGCACTTCGTGCATCCCCCGCGAGAGCGAAAAAGGCCGCACCGTACGTGACTTGATTTTTGCTAACCGCCACGAACGCGTTATTAGAGGCGGCCTCTCGGTGCTTCGGCTCAGTGAAGTTGCGTGAGAAAAACGCGTACAGCTTTTCATTGCGCTCCGCCTTGCAGAGTGCCGCGAGAACGCCAACCTTACCGGCGAGAGCATACATGAGAGCGCACTCCCGCACGTCCTTCGTGGCGTGGTACTGCCCGCGCGCCACTCGTTCCGCCAGCGCGCGCAGCGCCTGTCGCGACTGCAGCCACAGCGGCACGCCGGCGGCCTCCACTTCCTGCCACGTCACCGCGCCCTTCTCGCTGTGTCCGCTGAAGAGGCCGTCCAGCAGCTGCGGCTGCGCGTCGGAGAGCGCCGCCCAAAGGAACGCCGAATGCGTATGCAGAACGTCGTCGGACGGTGTAGCATGCACACGGAGGCGTCGCTGGAGCTGCTGTAATTTGTACAAGAAGAAAAAACGGGAGGCGGCCACGTCCAAACTAGTGCCGAGCAACTTTGCCGCGCGCATCGCGTCCAACACGCAGAGGAGTGTGAGCTGCTCCTGGCTGTCGAGCCCCCGCAGCCGAAGCGTCGGCAGCAACTCCATGACGCGCTCGAGTAGCTCCAGCGTGAGCTCGGCCCCAAACGGTGTCGTGCCATCATCCTTCTCTTCCTGCTGCAACAACTGTTGTTCCTCCTCCTGCTGCGCGTCAGGGTCCAGCGAAGCAATGCAAGCGGCCACCGCCGCTTCCGCGTCGTCCTGTGCGACTGAGGGCTGTTCGTATAGACGCACACTTATTGGATTGTGGCACATCTCCATCGCGGTCACGCACGGCTCCGCCGAAGCACAAACGCCACTGTCGGTCGTCGTCGTTGTGGCGAGCTCCTGCACGCGCCGCAAAACGGATTGCACAACCCTTGATCTTCCGATGCCCAGCAGCACCAGCACCGCAGTGGGGTGCCACAGCTCCATTCCCACAGTGGCACTGGCATTCGCACGACTGGATGGCGCGGAAGGCTTCTCCTGTACCGCAGCCATATCGCAGGTGTGAATAAAGGACCCGTCGGAGGAAAGGAACAGCAGATGCTCTAACTGCTTTTCCCCAGTGTTTTGGTTGTCGCCGCGATCTTGTTCACCTTCCATCCACAGGGGCGCCATCGCCGTTATTTCCTCACGCCAGAGCATGGCGTCGGCCGCCGGTTTCGCCTCACACCAGCAGTAACCCTCCTCGCTATCATTGGCGACGCGGGTTCGCCGCTCAACAGACTTTTGGTGCCGCCGCAGCAATACAGCATCGCCACTGCGGCAGAGCACAAACGATATAACGTCATGAACCTCCAGCTCAAGTGTGAACATTGGCGGCGCTGCAACGTCGCGCAACAGATCCAGCGCATAGAGCAGAAACACCGTTTTGCACTCCGCGTCAACCGTAGCCCCCATAACAGCAACAATAATGACATTGCTCGCGAGCCTCATAGCTGTCAGCTGCACGGGGCGGTACTGCTGGTAAGATTCAAATGGCCGCAGCGAGAGTGGGGGCTCATCGGGTAGCATCGGCGCCCGCACTGAGACGCTGCCGGTGGCCTCAACCCACTCGCACGACACCTCGCTGTCGGCATCGTGACTATTGTCATCATGGCTCTTGTCGTGAGGATGACGTTGATTGTGTTCCACAGGCCTGGCGCCCAAGCAGCGCACCGGTGCTGTCGCGGGGAACCGTGCAGTATGCACGACAATCTCATCCATCGCCGCAGCGAAGCTCTCAAGGGGAACGGCTGGAATCTGCCACATCTGACTCACGCTGTTCATCGCAAGACGCGTGGTGTAGGCAAAGCCGTCCGCGGTGGCCTGCAGCTCATTTGCTGTGAGCCACACTCCAGAGATCGGTGATGAAGGTGAGACTAATGGTGTGGGCACCCCAGAAGCAGCAGTAGCTGTAGCTGTAGCTGTGGCTGTAGCTATAGGGGCGCTATCACTGCTGCTATCGTTGTGACTTTTATTGTAAACAACAGAGAGTGGCTCTACTGGACCGTACTTTGCTGTCAACTGCGTCAAGAGCTTCCCTGCGTCACCACTGCATGCCTTCAACAACGATGGAATCATGCGCACTTTGTCAGGGCATTTTACCTCCATGAAAAGGCGCACAGCCTCTTCCTCCCTCTTTGTTTTTTCCTCAGGCCCCACATTACCTGTCACCACAACCCCCGCCACTGTAGGAGCGGCAACACCAGCAACAGCCGTCTCTTCCCCTTTATTGGTGTCAGTGGCAACAACAGCCGCGTTTTGTACCTGGAATCGATGGCGGTGCTCTGCCAAAATGGGCGCAACCGCCCGCACTGTTGTCTCGGCAATACCGGGAGCCCGCACGACTCTCTCAATCACGAAAGCACGCTCCTGGGAGAGTCCTAGAAGAAGCTTCTCCCCACAAGCACCACGGCTGGTGGTGAGACACAACGGAAGTGGGTCTGCGCCGAGCGTCAGAAACGCTTCCAAACGCGCCACTGACGTTAAAAGGTCTACCATCACTTTTGCCACCATGCCGCTTGCGAAGTGCACCAACAAGCGATAACGTCGGGCCCCCATTAGCTGCTCCGCCTGAGGCGTGAAGGTACCGAACTCCACTGCTCGTGCCTTCCAAATGGGGAGAACGCTCATATGTGTTATTTCACCGTAGTTTTTTTGCAACGGAAGCAGCACTTTCGATGCAGTGAGGCCGGCACTGCGCTGTTTAGGAAATCCTCCTTGTTTCTGCTGGCCGAATCTGTAGCTCATGGTGCGTACAGTGCCATCTTTGTCGAGTGAGAGGAACTCCAGCTTGTTGCTCAGCGACGCGGTGTCACGCGAGCGGGACAAGGTAGGGACAAGTTGTGTTGTGAGAGGAGCGGACGACATGGTGCTGAGTGAGACGTTTCCACGAGGTATAAGCTGTAACGAGTGGTCGTGTTTATGACACGGTAACACATCAGCCGAATCCTCCCCTTTTCGTGCCTTCAGAGGCCATGCCAAAGACATAGACTGCACGGTAAAGAGAGCCACGGAGAGACGCCCGTCATGTGGATGTTGGCAAGTGACGCAGAGGATAGTGTGGCTGGCGACACGGTGCCACTCGAGTGCTGTCACTTTGTAGACGCCAAGTTTAGCTGAGACGCCACGCCACGCAAAGGTGTCACGTCTCATTGGCTCTAATAAGAAGGAGTTCTGCTTGTGTGTGGGGGAGAAGATGACACTTGGCTCGCACTCCATCGGTGGGGTAACCGACTGCTGGCGGCATGTCACCTTCAGCGGGAACACTTCCACCGCGGAGGAGTGCAGCGCAAAGGCAAGATGCATGTTCGTACGGCACACAGCCAGTGTGCTGTAGGAGCTACAGATGCGCCACTTGATAAAATCTCTCTTGGGGTCAGCACCGAGCTCAACGACAACTGCCTCATCGCTGAAAACAATAGCGAGACAGGAAGTGGCGATGAAAGCCGCGTCAACTGCATCACGTATGCCACTGTACTGTGTCGTTATGCCCCACTTCGACAACCACAACGATGACGACGGTGGCAATGGCTTCAGCCCTGTTGGTGAACTATGCGCCACCGGAGCTGCCGGGGGCGGCACAGCGCGCTCCACCATGGCGTTGCAGGCCCGGCCGTTCACGTGGATCGGTCGGTACCGCAGCCGCATGTCGGGCTCTGTGAGATCCACGACCGTCACGCCGTGGGTCGCCACAACAGCAACTCGGACGTCCTCACTGCACTCGCAGATGCGGATGTGCCGCAGGGCTGCTTCCACTGGGGCATCCTTTGCCATTCTCTCGCGCCCGTCCGAACACTCATCAAAAAGTGGGCCGCACGCGCACAAGGCCCCTTCTCTCAGGATGAGAAGTCGGTCCGCCACAGCGATCACAGTTCGCAGTTCTCCATTGGAGTTGAACGCGCACGACAGGTGGCTGCAGCGCTGGGGAAAAAACACATCCCCGGTCTGCATAGCAGCTGTATGTGTGTGCGTGCGTGTGCCTCCAGTACCGATCAGGTATGAAGCCTGCAGAAAAGGAAAGCTGCTTGATCTCTGTCAGCTTCCTTCGCTTCCTTGGTGAAGAGCATCACAATTTTTTTTTTTTAAGCAGAGGGTATGAGCATTGCATTTACTCAACGGCACACACAGAGGAGACAAGATGTTAGGGGGGAAAAGGAGCTTCAAGCACTCCAGTATTTCTGTTCTTTCTTTGCCGTGGTTACTTCAGCTGTGACCACGGCTGTTGTTTATCATGTACACACGTTTCTTTAGGCAGCAGCCAAAGTGTGAATGCCAGAGACCCATACCTCCCACCGCTCCGCCTGTGCATCATCCACCACGGCTCCCAGCACGCATGCCTGCGTCAGCAGCAAGCGGCCAACACCGCACTCACGCACAACAAAGTACACGGCTGCACTGTCGCAAAGGCGAATCCACAGTGAGTACTCCTCCTCTTTTAGTGCACCTTGTTTAGTCCTAGATAACACTGCTTGCTGTCGTCTTCTCTTCCGAAAGACAGCTGATCTCTTCTCAAGTGGTGTGTCGTACAGGTACTCAGTTACGATGTAATCCACGTAGTCTGACGGGCAGCGGTAATCCTTAAGAAGCGTGATTACTGCCTGCCGCCTCTGCCCATCACCCATATCCTCTGCCGTGACAGTAACGGCGCCCAGAGAAGCACCACTAAAGGCCGCCGCAACGAAAGCCGTCGCGTTTGTGTAGGCCTTCGATGCGGACGGCAGGTGCACAACAAGGCTCCCCTGGCGAAATAGAAACCCAGGATCTTTTCTTACGCTCAGTGCTGTAAACGAGGCAGTGGTGGCGATAGACAGGCGAAATGCAGACAACAGCCACTCACACTGTGCTTGGCATGTGTCCGCGTTGATAATATCAACGTGGTTGTTGTTGTTGTCGATGGCAGTGGTGGTTGTGTTCCCCACCTCAGCTGCTGGAGTCAGCAGCACCACACAGCAATCACTGCCCACCCGTGGCTCTGTGACCCACGCTATCACCCGCTCTGCCTTGCTGTCGTCTTTCTCTAGATAGTAGAATGTACTGCAGGGACTCACCACGCAAGATGCCGAGGACGACAACGTCGTTGTATTCTCAATTGTGGCACGAACCCGCCTCACTTCTGCGCATCGCCAGCCGCTGCGTCGCACGTGTCTCGCCCAAACACGCCCCAACGCGCGGCGACTCACTAGACAGACGTCGGTAGAAAGCGGCAGCGTCGCCACCACCACAGGGGCGAACCCGTGCACCGCAAGACACAGATGCTCTGACACAAGGCCCAGCTCCGTTGCCACTACTTGAAGTAGCCAGTCGCTGCGCTCACAAGAAGCTGGGCTGCATTGAGCCGCAATGCTCACATGCTGCGACATTTGAACAACGCAGCGGCCACGTGGAGTGTACATTCCACCAACGCCAGCAGTCCACACAGCATCACGTGTTGCCACCTCCTTGGAAAGCCGCGCGTAGCGTGCCTTGAGATCAGGAACAATTCGATGGAAGGCCTCCTTCATTATAGTGGTTTCTTCGCTCTTCGCGGTGTGCAGCAAAACACACACCAGCAGCGTGTATTGTTCAAGCAGTACTGCAGCGCACTCTGTCCGTTCAACTTCCCATACAACACAAAACGGTGATCGAGACAGCCTTTCAGAGTCTGGGGAGACGCATGCTAAGAGCCGTTCCTGCAACTGCTTCTGCAGAGCGCCCGCATCACCTGCCACAGCACGTGGAACGAAGTGCTCCGCCACGTAGAGGGATTCCCCAAGTACGTCAACGCGCTCAAAGTGTGCAACACTCAGCGAGGAGCTCCCGCAGGCGTCGTGGTGCAGACGCAGAGCCCAGCCATCCGGCGCAAGTAGAGCCCCACACAAAACGCCCTCGACCTCACGCTCCACAAGGTTCATTGCGCTCAACAGCGCACCACCCTTTGTTTGGTGTTTGGTGTTTGTGCTTGCCTCCACACTTCCTCCCTTCCGCTGTTATGCGCGCACACACACACACAACGAAACAGCAGACCGGCCAAAAGAGAGTAAAATTTCGTGTGGCACACACAGTCAGTGGGAATCGGCCGAGTAATCAAATGCCGAGGAGAAAACAACGAAACACGCACGCCACTACAGAATAGTTCTCAAGTGTGTGGGGTTAAACGGGGCGCCAAGTGATTACTCTTGCAGTATGAGCGAAGACGCCACAAAGAGCGGAGAGAGGGGTGCGTTGTGTCAACAGATAAGATCAACAACAAGAGGTAATGAATGCGCTCTTTTCCGCCCACACCCACACAAGTGATATTTCGGAATTGGAAATTCAACAGTATGTCGACACAAAAAAAAAAACACTCTTTGGCTCTCTCTCTTTTTTTTTTTTGTATGCTAGAAAAAGAAGCATTCAAAGAGGTGAAGAAAAACAGAATTAGAACTTCGTCTCTGTATGACCATTATTGGTCAAGAGGGCCACTTCGGAGCCGGTTGTACAGGCGGAGAACGCATGTCCGTGACACATGATCCTCGACATTCACCACAATGAATCCCACCATTACACACATAGCTCCCACCACATAGAGTGGCGCGAATTTTGCCCCCTTCCACACAGCGTCCACCACCATCGCCAGCGGCGTTGTCAGCGTCAGCCCGAGCGTCGCGATGACGGGAGACGTGAGCACGACACTGCGCGCCCACAGAACATCGCTGAGGTTCGTCCCGATAAGCGTATTCAGCACCAATGGCCAGAACTGCTGCGGTGTGGGTAATTGGAACAGCTCAAACTCGATGGCGTTCAGAACGGGGAGGAACGGCCACAGGCAAACGAGGTTTATGACACCGACCATGCCGAACGTCATCCCCATGTAAAACCGCTCATCATCAGGTAGGAACCACTTGAGAACGCTTGTGTAGAGGGCGTAGAACATGGCAGAGACAACTGCGAGAATGTCGCCGCTAACGCCTTCTCCTTCCAACGCACTTTTTCCATCGGCGAACGCGATCATCACAGACCCACCGACACATAACACCACCGCACCCAGCTTGATCACGGTGATACGTTGTCCCAAGAGCAGAAAGGAGAGCAGCAACGTCCATATGGAGGATGTGGAGCTCAACACTGTGTTGGAAGCGATTGATGTACGGGACAATGAGAGATTGAACAAGTAATTTGCTGCAAACCACAAGGGGCAGAATGCGCACGCACACTTGAATATCTTAAGCTTGCTGTACGGCTTCAGTTTCTCGAGCGTCTTGCTAGCCTTGAGAGGAAGGAGCGTCTCTGCATCACGTGGGACGACTGTTACTAACGACACTTCCTCGGTCACTTTAGTTTCAGCTGCTGCTTGAGCAGCTGGAGTGTTGTCGTTTGATAGCCGCCGCGGTCCCTCGTATGTACTCTTCAGGTCGTGGTCGATGAAGATAATGGGTTCTGACTTCTCCGTGTTGTCCCATGGAATGCGGCGCCACGACGGCATGATGAGGTAGCCCAAGTTCCACAGTGCGAATCCGCCGGTATTGAAGTACGTCAAGAAGTACGGCTTCTCATACTCGAGTTCACCGAATATGTATTGAATCCACGCAGACGAGGCAACCCAAATGACGGTGACACATAGAATAAGAAAGATCCCAAGGGCATGCTTGCCAACGGATACGCCTTTCAAGCACCTGCACCTAAAGCAGCAACAACAGCGACCGGTATCCTCCTCCACCTCCTCCTCCTCATGTGCGCCCCCCTCGTAATCTACAGCAAGCCCGCTTCCCCCATGAAAGTGATAAGGCGTGGAAGACTCGAAGGGTTCCTGCGGTTTTTCCGGTCCCACCAAGGGCTTTCCGACAGAATTTGCCATGTCGGGAACGACTTGCCTATCGACTGCTGGCTCCGTATGAGACTTCGGCATAACGGACTATGTTCCTTCGCCCCTCACTACCTGAAGAATCAAAGCCAAGTTCAAAAGCGAATCGCAAACACACAACCACACACACAGAGAGAGAGAGAGAGAGACAGAGAGACAGACACCTCGGTGCCCAAAGTAAGTTTTGAATAAGTGGAGTGTATTTCAATCGAAAGAGTCTTGCAAAAAAAAAAAAAAGGGAGGGTAAAGCGATAAGCAAATGCAGTGAAGAAAAGTGGTCAGCCTTCCCATTGCCACCACCATCGGCTTACCCGTTAAAGGGTTGCAAAAAGCAATACCTATGCCCATTCAGGAGCTCACATCTCGTGGGATCACAGCACACGAGACCTGGTCGCTCCGCCTCTTCCATCAAACGCGCACACAAGGGTTCACTCCCGTAATGATCCACCAGGTTAGCGTAGCCACATCTTTGCAGCGCCTTGGTGGCATTCACAAAATCCGCCAGTGGAACTGGTGGATGTGGCGTGAGGCAACGTCGGTGCGACCGCTCAGGGTCGCCAAAGCAGTGCGGGAAAATCATGCACCCATCGTAGCGTGGCTTGAACGCCTTCAGCATCGCGTGCCCATCAGCGGGGCACATTACCGTCATGTCGTACACACGGCAAGGAACAAGAGGGAAGGTATTATTCGGTATTGGCATGAGTCGACCAAAGTGGTTAAAGACAGTGTACAGACCGTCCGGTTCGTAATACACACAGGTAATATCTGCGCCCGTGTTAATATCACCAAACTGGCGTACCATCCGTACCATGGCAAACATCGCCACGCCAGTGTAAGGCCTGTGTTTCTTTCCACCTACCGCAATGGAAAAACGCAATATTGTGGCCATTTTCTTAAATGGCCCTTCCAGTGAGCGCAACAGCGGCAGACAGTCTTTCCTCGTCGTCAACACATGGAAGTCTAAATCAAGATCGTTCGCCACGCGACCCTGGCGAATTATCCCCAGCAGTGTTCCGTCTGCCGGCCAGTATGTGATGCCATGCTTCCGCATGACAGTGTCAACCACGGCATAGACGCGTCGCAACTCCTGCTCAAGTTCGCTCATGGGGAAATCCATTCTAAACTCTTTCTGCAGACACGCCGTAGGACTTCTACCATACGGCCTTGATGGGTCTTCAATGACCCCTGGTAAGAGAGCACTGTCATCGGGCGCCAACGGCAGTATCGACGACCCAGGTGGCTTTGGTGACAACGCCGCTGTTGCTACTGCGGCGGCGGGTTCCATGTGTGACAGCTTCACCAATGCGTGGGATTCCCGCATCTCATCCTCTGCGCCGTGGTCACTAGATAGCTGCAGCACGCAGAGGGGAAAAAACAGCACTAATACGGTAGCAGAAAGACACGCCAATTTATACTTACCTGCACGACGACGAGCCATCCAATGTGCAGAGACTAGTTGTGTCTTTATTTCCCTTTTGTTTTTGTTGTTTTGGTATATATGTGGAATGCGAAACACTCGCTCACGTCAACGCTATTCCCCGCGTGGAGGTCTAAAGCAGAGACAAAAAAATTACTAAAAAGACACAACCTACAAAATCGACAGCAGAGGCGGAACAAGATGTAGAAAGCGACCCACGCACTCGTCTGCTCCTTTTTCAGAGAGAGAGTGTGTTTGTCTTTCTCTCTCTCTCTCTCTGTGCGTGTATGTATGTATGTGTGTGTGTGTGTGTGTTCGGGTGTCGTTGTAATACGCAAAACGACAGTCCAGAGATCAGCAACATCCATCAGGAATCCCAATGCAACTTCCCTCGCGTCAAGTGAAACTCATCACTACCACCACTACTGTTTTTTTTTTCCTTTTTTGGTTTTTTTTTTTGCATTATTCGCTTCGTTTTCCTTCGCCTTTGTGTGCCTGTTCGTTCAGTCATTGCTAGGACTTGTTGAATCTAAACTTCAGCCGATTGAAGAGGCGTGACAGCACTGTTTCGTTGGCCTTCTGTTGTCGCTCCTCCTCACTCTTCTTTCGCAGCTCCCGTTGAAGAACGCAGAGCTTTTCCGCCAGCAGGGCGCGGTTGTATGCGGTGGTGCACTCAATGTGGTCGTCCTCGTGCTTGGAGGCACGACTGTAGCGAATTTCCAGGTACCTTGCCTTCGTGGGCGAGTCCCGCACCTCCTCAATGTCGCGCACCAACTTCTCCTCATTACCCTGCGACGCCGCAGTGCCATCCGCGTTAGGCCGCATCATGTACAGCCGTTCCCCGTCGACGCACAAAAGGCGCTGCTGCCGGGCCCCGTAGCGGTTGATGCGAATCACCTCAAACTGCTGGAAGACCTGCGCCTCCTCTGCGTCAATGTTAACGACAACATCTTCTACTGGGGCGGAACCATCGTTGTTTTCGTCCGGCACACGTCCCTGCACAAGTACCTCCGTCACACCAAAGCGATAGAGCGACAAGATGGTCCGCTCCGCTATCGGCACATCCATGTGGCCACACCCTGGCCCAAAATCGTAGTATTCATTGATATTTAGTTCCACCGGTCCGTACTTAATGCGCAGCGATCCTGGCACCAGGCCGATACCAGGAAGACGGTTTACAATCGTCTGCTCCAAACTCTCTGCGAGCAAGTCGGCCGGCACGAGCACTTGCCGCCTGGTTACTTTGGCCTGGGAATCTAAAGGACGTACCTCTACAGCTAGATTAATGTCCTCAGCAACAGTTGGCAGCAGCTCTGTCCGCTGTGGAAACAAGAAGAGCTTGGCGGCCGGCAGAGGTTGAACAGCAAAGCATGTGAAATTCTGTGCGGCGCCGTCCAACTGAACCACCATCTCTTCATCCCCTGTGAACTCGTCAGCAATATACAACTTATAAAGGCGCGGATTCGTTGAAAAACGAGCAGAACAACGCACATCTGGTACAACAGCTTGCTGAATAAACGCGCTAACTACATCAACCCCGCGAAATGGAGCCTGTCGTGGCTGAATTGTGCACACTGTACGTTTTCCCTGCGCATTTGTGAAGGTGCTGAAAACACGCAATTCAGGTCCCTTGGGGTACTCAGAATCAATCCTAAGAAGAGGGGAGCTGCCGCCAGCCTGGCCAAACCTATTTTCTGCCAGCGCCTCCTGCAATCGGGCCTGGTGCTGATCCATGAGTTCTCCTGTCGTCAACGTTGCGACCGTACCCAATGGCTCTGGAGAGCCCCTTTCCACTGCGATATTATCCGTGGACTTCCACGTCTCCTTCCTTCCGGAGTGTGGGCTGAAGTGTGACTTCATACGGTCATCGCGTTGGAGATCCGCCTCCGCGTCTATGCCGGCAAGATCCACAGCCCAGCGAATCATTAGAGTTTACTAATGGCGCTATACAGTGTCGGTCGACTTTTTTACCTCCTGTTAATCTCGAGAACCGTGGCGACGTGCGCACGTAACCCCTCCTCGACCTTGCTGTCCTCTTCCTCCTCTTCCTCCCTCCCTCTGCCTCTTTGCTCCTAACTTTTGCTCGCTACTTTGAGACAGCAAGAACAGCAATGGGGACACACCACGAATAAAACAAAGAGCACGCTAAACTAGCACGGAGCATTGTATCCCTTGCACGCCGCCAAAGATATTTTCCGTATTTTTTTTTTGTTTGATTCTTTCTTTTCCCTCCCCAAACGTAGCAAAAACCCACACAGACACACACACCCAGGATTATTATGGACAACACCTTCACTCGCTATCGTTAAGAGAAACACCAACTTTTCCCTTGTATATTTAGCACAGCTATACACGTACACGGAAAGAAGGCCGGTGCATTTCGGTGGAGGGTGCATGTGGCTTTTGTCTTTTTTTTTTTTCGACCCCCTCTTTCCTTCTGCCTTGTCGATCCTTTCCCAGGTACCACAACATAAGGAGTGGGAAAGACACGATGTCGTCTCGGTTTCACTCCACGCGCGGCATATTCCACTCACTATCACCCTCAAATGTAACTGTTTTGTTCATCCCCACTGCTGTCCCTTCGATACAGAGCGTCTCTTTCTTTGTCTCAGACTCTATGCGGGTCACTGTTGTGCGAAATGCTATGAGGAACTTGCTCTTCTTAAACTGGGTTACTGTGACACGCGCCTCCACTTCATCTCCAACGAGTATAGGCGCCACGAAGCGCAGTGTCTGGCTCAAATAAATGGATTGCGGACCGGGAAGCTCGGAGCCCAAGATTCCTGAAAAGAGAGAGCCGGCCAGCATTCCATAAACCACAGGAGACGGGAACCCAGCGGCTTTCGCTGCAGCTGCGTCGACGTGGATAGGATTACTATCCCCGACAAGTGGCCCAAACGATTTCACATCTTCATATGAAATCACGCGGCGCGTAGAAGACGAATCTCCAATACGAATTATTCGACCCATGTGTTTTAACACTATTCTGAACATGCTCACGATTAAATATGGATATTGTAAAGCAAAAGGATCGGTAGAAAAGGAAGAAGAGGAAAGTTCTCTTGAAGCAAAAAACAAACAATGTTAACGAACGCAGGGAATGTAAACGGGAATAACAGAGCAGTTCGCTATTCTTGTATCGCCGGTGTGCCCTAGATCCGAGTGTATTGAAGGGTATTGCGCTGCAGAACTTTGTTCCACCGATGCTCCCATCCACCTCTTTTGAGGTGTGGATCCGTTCCCCAGCCAGTGTAATGCACACGGTGAACCAGTATGTTACCACTACGCACCATCTTGTTCATTGTCCAGTACGAAATGTTGGCGTACGGAACCCACTCCCTGGTTCCTGGAACACCCTGAACGGCGTGGTATCGGTCAACATTAGCTAAGCGGTAGTATGGCACTTTAAATAGTCCATACTGATTATACTGGAAGCATGTAACTTTGCGCTGCAGCATTCTCTGGTGATTCCCCGAGAAGGTCTTCGATAGAGGTTCGTCAAGTTGCGAAACGGCCCGACAAACACTGTGCAACCAAGTATCACGAAAGGACTTCTCATACATTAGCCGAGACTCTAGGACAAAGTGAGTATGCCGCTTCGGCACATCCTGTCCTATGTGTCGCATGAAAAGCACTGTGCTGGGGCGCAGCATTTTGTCTTATTCTTCGCCGTAACTACAGAACCGCTCGTCAACACTTTACCCCTAAGAAACAGATGACAGCTAAGTCACCTGTACTTTCAAAAAACAAAAACAAAAACAAAAATAAAGTTTTCGTGCAAAGCAGAGTATGTCATCCAAGAGTATTGGCCATGCTCTGTGGTAGATTCGAAGTTAGTTGCTTACAATACGCCACCGTGTTTTCTTCTTACGTTTATCTCCTTTCAATGATTAACTACTGCAGTAAATCTTCGCAAAGATCCAGGGTGATGCGTTTGCAAACATCATCTGCTGTCCTACCAATATTGCAGCTTTCTTCACTAAGGACCTTGGCACGCTCCACAGAATAACGAATAAAGCTTGATGCTAGCTGTTTCTCAACCTTTGATGAAGGAAGTCCTTTCGCAGCGCACATAGAAGCACGCGATGCGACGGCTGATGCTGCATAAAGAAGAGATGCCGCTTCTCCAATTCTGTTAAGAAGCAGCTGTTGGTATTGAACCTGGGAACCGTTTCTAACGAATGTTGCCTCCACAGCATCACCAAACTTCACAACTACCTCATCGATTAATGAGGCATCCGCGATATCTTTTGTAGGGACACGATCACGTACACCTAGCGAGCGAAGTGTCCTTGCCTGCATCATTTGCAATGTTGTGGCCTGCTGGAAGAAAAGACCGTAATCTTCAATACCACAGCACGCAGCAGTAGCGTAAAGAAAGTCCCTTGACTCCATCAGGCTGAAAAGGGTGTTGGCGTGACGAAAACAATTGTCTATTGACTCGTTTGGAGGCAGTAATACCCCAAGCCTTTGAAGCCAGTGTGTTGTGGTCGCACGTACAAATGAGCTAACAAGCGTGCATTCCAACAAACTGTCTTCGGTTGGTATATCCATATTAGCTGTCAACGCATAAACAGCAGATTCCATACCATATATCGCGCAAGCACAGGACGCGACGACGTCTGCAATCCCCTTCTCTCCATTCAAACCCTGAAGCTCTTCCAGAACACGCTTCATAATACCTAACAGCGACACCACATAAAGGTACTGTTCTGTAAACAATGTGATCATCGCATTTTTGAAGCCCTCACCAATTACTCCAACAACATCAGAAGCAGGTGTATTGTCTAGAATGACATCATTTCCCTCAACTTTCAATCCCGGAGCATCCTTTGCACAAATAAAAAACGAACTGCGATGCGCAACGGCAGCACCGTCATCTGTTGCAGTTTGAGTGAGGGTCTTGGCCAACACCAAAAAATGTGTGGAAGATGCCGCATCAAAGCAGCGTTTTTTACCTGACAACCTATAACCCTCACCATCGTGAAGAATAGCCTGAGAAGCATTCATACTGATGTCGCTGCCAACACCATCTTCTTCAATTGCCCACCCCATTCTAATGGTGCCGTCAGACATTGCCGTCAAGTACTTCCCCTTCACCTCGTTAGCCCCAGCTGTCGCCAAGAGATAGGTGCAAACGCCACCGTGCCGAATGGTAGAGAGCAACTTGTCATCACATTTGGTGCCTATTTCTTCATAAATAAGGGCATGTGCAGTATGTCCAAGGCCCAAGCCACCGTACTCTGGGGCAATTCGTGCACCATAAAGATTTGTGAGTGGATTATTATTGCTGCGTATACTTTCCAGGACAAACTGAAGATTTTCTGCCTCATCACCGTCAAGTTTTCGACAAGGATAAGGAAACATCTCCCCAGTTACAATCTTGAAGTTAAAAAGGCCCGCCGCATAAGAACTTGAATAGCGGTAATGCATCCGCTTAAGGGACGTCGCAAACCTCCGCATTGCTCGTGGCCAAAAATGCCTCTCTTGATAACCTTTCTGTTAGGTAATTAAAAAAAAAACAATGGTGGGGAAAGGCAAAAAGGGGAAAAAAACAGAAGACCTATAAAAACAGTTAGCATGCGTTCAAGAACAAATCAAACCCGCAATCAAGACAAAAGGCAAGTGCCAAAGAGAGAAAAAGATAGGATGTTTCATTAGTCGTGTAGTTACCATGAATGTTTCTATTAAATATATATATATATATATATATTGCTGATATTAATTAGCATCAGTCTTCCTTATCCGAGTATTCTGGCATATCAGAGATGCTGAACGGCAGAGTCGTCCACTTTGGAAACACACGCTTATAAAGATCCATGCAAACGACATCATGCTGCATCACCTGATCATTAAGGGATGCCTTGAATAATCCATGGGTTCCCACAGCCTTGGTTATTTTTCCACGTCTTCCCATCCGAGTACGTAAATCAACGGGCTGAAACCAACGCACATCTTCATCATTGAAAAACATGTACTTCACTACAATCTGCTTTTTGTGAATAGTCGCCACACGACCCGTCAGAACTGCTCGCTTCAAAATCAAAAGATCTGGATTTGGAGGCAATGCCGCTCCAAAGCAAGCCAGTCGCAAAGCATTACCATCTTCTTGCTCCTCCAAAGACGGGACTTCGAACAAAAGTATTGGGCACGGCTGATAAGAGGTAGGGCCAAAAAAAGTGGCCATGCGAAATGTCTCGGAAGGTTGGAAAAAACGAGCAAACTTTGTGCGGTCCGATGAAGTTATATCACTAAATAATGGAGAGACGTAGAACTTTCGGAAACCTATATGCGCCAGCATAGGTACCTTTGATTTGATAGGTTCATCCCATTCTGAAGTCCTTTGAACCTGGAAGTGTAGTACTGACCATTTTTGCTCGTGTTCCAACTGTCCAGAAGCAATTAGGAAACCACTTGTGGTACAACTATGCCATACATCGCTTGGAACCTCCACCAGGGTAACATACACAAACTGATCAGCTTCTACAGGTCCTTCAGCGCATTTCTTTAGAGCCGCTTCGCGAATTCGTGTGACACCCTGTAGTTTGTATATATAAGCGTAGTGTGGGGGAAGATTCTCTGCATGGTCCCATTTACCTGTTTGAAAGCTTTTCAAGCCTCTGTATTTGACAAACCTTTGTCTAGCCGGTAAATTTAGAGGAGTTTCTACCACATCTGGATTCCACGCTTCATCTTCGCTTTCTTCTCTCAGGCGTTGAATTTCTGCAGCTCGCTCTTCATCTGTCATACGTTCCAAACGAATAATATCCTCCACTTTGAGGAAGTCCACATCTGTTTTTGAAGTCCGGTGTGACAAGAACTCTGCACCAGCAAATGCATCATCCTCAATTACTGGTTCTTCCGGTGCTACTTTTTCCTCTATCATTTGATTCTCCTCAAGATCATACCACGCTGCTTGATATTCTGACACTCCCTCTGGAACCTTTATCTTCTTCGCCCTTAAGGACTCATGGTAAGCCACATCATCCTCCGTGGGGCCTTCAGCATTCTCAAGAGTAGCGTTTGCCTGTACATGTTCCAACGATTCCCGTTGCCCAATTTCGGAGACATCAATAAATTGAGGATCTTCACACTTCGGGTCATTTAAGGAAATGCTTTCAATTTGATATGTACCGTGATTTGTGAGGTGAATCAGCTGTTTCGCAGAAAGAGGCATTCCTCGCAGATAGCCGGCGATAGTCAGTTTTTGGGTATCCTCAGAATAGCTACCTGCCTCCACCACGAAATAAGGATGTTGCTCACGCCAGAGTAACGACCTCATTTTGGAAACCTGAAGATGGCGAAGCACAGCGTCATAATCCTGATCCTCAGTAACAGAAAATACCTTTGTAGTGTCTGGTAGTACAGATAGAAAGTAGCGCTGGTGTACTTTTAAAACTTTTTGACGTTGTTTCTCGGTGAACGTATCAAGATTCTGCAGAACAACTACAACGCTCGGCGCTCCTTGAGCGTTCAAAGTGGCAATAAGCTCTCTTGTAAAGTCGGTAATGCAGAGTCCGATGTCTCCGAACCATGTTGTCGCACTAACCATAGTACAGCCATCCTCATCCTCCTCTGGTACCCCCTGCATTTGGCGTATAGTCTGTTGAACAGATTGTGAGGCATCCAAAGCAAGAACCAAAAAATCAGCCACCTTTGCGACGTCAACGCAATCCTGGTCATTGCAATGCTTTTCCCAGATGAAAGTGAAGGATGTTTTTTTCTCCTTTGATGTCACTGTGAAGGGGAAGCACGAATCAGGCTTTTCAGCACCCATAACCTGGCAAAGACCCTGAACAACCAAATCCGTGTTACCCGACTCATTCGCAGGAATTACTCCAATTGCACGGGGCACACCAGAAACGCTTCCAAACCTTTTGAGTTGAAGTGCCAAAGCAGTTTTCTTCCTTCGCTGTGAAATGGCGGCTTGTCGAAGTCTTTCCTTTGTCTCCACTGGACGAACAGCCTTCACTCCCGTTTTCTGTGAAGGAATAGATCGGCCCTGCGTCTTACCCGAAAGCGCATGCTTGGAGCTAAAGCGCTGTTTGTGGGACTTGTTGCGTGCCATTTCGACTACAACAGAAAAGCCTCAAAAAATGGGTAAAGAGAGCACTCAGAAAAAATCCCCCCAAAAAAAATTTTAGCCTTTGGAATTAATTTATACAATGAGAAAAACAATCCAAATCAAAGCCAGAGAAAAGGGGGGCCTTCAACTAGGCCGTTAATGCAGCCAATGGTCTCAAGGCAAAGCACCGACATCGCGTTATACCCACACCGCCACGATGCATGGAAGGATCAAGGAGTGCAAACGCCGAAAAAAAACACACCTCTCACTC